ATGGTTTCTAGACGTGAAGATTGTTTGTTTTCTTGACAGAGGGGTTAGAAAGAGACTCGAACGTTGACCAAAGATTTGTAGATAAAAAACGTGGTCGCGCTCGTCCTAATTCATCGGACATGACTCTGAACCCTCGAAAATGGAGTCGGATTTGTTTGATAAGCTTCCTAGAGGATGTAACTTCGTCTATTAATTTCGGCTAAATCAATTGCTTCTGTTTTACGAAGACTCATTTACAATTCCCAACAATCCGCAAGGACGGTAAATGGGCGGGATAAGCGAGATTGCTTCGATCATTGAATGAGACTCACAGCGGGTTCATGGTGAATCGGACGGTTGCAACGACATTGGCAGTGCACCATCGCCGTTGCAACCGCTTGTCCGAGTCGCACTGTCAATCCCAATTTCAATGCGGATGAAGAATCATCGGTAAAATTCCACTTGTTCCTTCGATGAAGTTGACAATATGTTCGGTGGCATATTCATGTTCACATTGAATGTGCATGTTGTGTAGCTAAGGCTGGCCATCGGGCCGTGCCAGCCCACGGTTGGCTAGGGCCCCTTTTTAATTTTTCAATTAAATAAGAAAAAATCGGCTGGAGAAAAATTCAATAATATTTGATAAAAATTGGAAGAAATGTAAACATTATAATATTTTAGGAAAATAGTATATAATTACTGAAAAGCGTTCATTCAATTAAACAAGAGTGGAATCCAAGTATATCTTCAAGTTTGCAAGAAAAAATTACACCATATAAGCGCCCTAATAACGAATATACAGAAATTTCGCTCAAGGGAATGCTTGATTAATTCGGTGTCTTTGCTGCCATGTCTCCCGCCATGATTGGGATTATAAAGTGTTGTCATTGTCCTTTTGTTCATGTTGGGCACGTTTAGTTGGCGTCAATTCTTACAATGACCAATCATGCCCGCAAATAGCCATTTCAACTTTTTTTTTTTTGCATTCAAGCTGCACCTATCTATTCCACAATCCGTTGGGTAGTACTCAGACATGGATTCCAGCACCATAGACGCCTGTGGGGTTAGTAAGTCACAAGCCATGGTCTAAAGAATTGAAAAACGCGAAACTCTATTGATCCACCACTTCATAGCATAGACGATGTCTTCACTAACTCTCTCAATATGTTTGGAGGAGTTTGTTGCCAATCAATGTCTCAAACTTATTGGTAGTAGAAGATTGTGGGGGTGTTCTTGTTATGAAGCAAAGACCATACAAATTTCTAGGCACTGCTTCATGAGGGTGTCATCACCATTTGGTGGGTGGAGTTTGCTATGTCGAATCTCCGGGTGTATGCAGCATGCATATTCTGGAGCCAATTCTTCACCATCGTCAATATCTGAGTGACTTAGACATCCTCACCTCGCCCCAAACTTTCTTAATAAGGAACAAGGAGAGTTTCGAGCCCCTCCAACTTGAAACTCGGATTCAGAATAGTGGATACAGAAAAAAAAATGGTGGAATGTCCTTGTAATATTTAAGGAATTTTGCCTTCATAGCCATTATTACTTCATTGAAGAAGGAAACGCCCTCCTTTTTCGCTAATTCAGCAGACATCAAGTCTAGAAATGGAACTGTTGCATCGCTGAAAACCTGCAAGAAGTCTCTAAAGACTTCAGCCATCTTCCGGCATGCTTTCTTTAATATCTTGTACGTTAAATTCCACCCCGTTCTTACGTGTAGAGAGAATTTCTCAACTTGCCTTCCTTGTAACATGTAGAGGACCTCCAACTCTTGATTCCTCATTTGGGTGAATCTATTGTATTGGACCCACCTTGGCCGCAGAGAATCGTAAAACTGGCGGAGATCGTCTTGCACGTAAAAGTTAATGCAATGGTTGAATTCAACTCGATGTGTCTTGCACACACAAGCTGAAACCGGAGCCTGCCCCTGCAATTCCTCCCAATCATCAAGTTGTTTGTGGTTTATTCATCGTCGAATTCGCCTTGTTGTCAGGGCAGAGCCCGTACGCAAACGTTGCTGTTGCGAAACTCACTAACACTCGCACGTGAGTTGCTAGCTGAAATCCAGATTGAGTTGGGATAATTATAAACGGTTGTCGTCGTCGTTGTTTCTCATTACGGTACTTAGAGCGCGATTAAATCATTGTAAGGAAAAACAAAAAAGTGAAATTGACAAAAAGGTTTTGGAGAGCAAGAGTGTGATGTAGTGATACATGACATGAGTGAGAATGGAGAAATGATGAAATATGCGAGAGGGAAGGAGGGGAGGGGGCCCATTTATAGAGGGAAATCTTTTCCCCCTTTTTGCTTGGAAGATAGCATAGGATATGAATGGTTCCGAGGTTTTCTTTCGCCAGATTCATCGGATATCTTGATGGGAACTGTCCTGTCCCGACCCATATTGTAAACCCGGAGTTCTCGAGCCACTTTTTTAGGGCTGGCCAGCTTCGATACTTTCACGGCGAGCACGCCGGCGCCGCTCAAGGAAGCCGTGGCCTCCCTCACTCTCACCTTGTCATTCCTCGGCAGACCCACCTCATCGACTGTCGGATCTCCTCGGCCTGTTGCCCTTAGCTTTCCCTGCTTGATCTCCTCTCTCATCTTCTCCTTCTTTAGCCACGGCGCGCCCATTTTGTACATGTAATCCGTCGCCATCTCTTCCTTGGGAACTTGATCGCGCCATGTCCTCCCCCACAAGCGTCGGGGTTCTCGAGTCCTCCGATCCGGAGATGGTGCAGAACGGTTGCATAAAACTCATAGCGCCTCCCGTATAATAGGAGGACAGAAAAATCCTTCAGGCATTTTGATTAGCATTAAATGATTATTTTGTCTCTTATTAGGCATGTTAAATCAATTTTGCTTCTCATACGCGGAACTCACACCACTTTGTTATTTCGGGTTACTTTGCAACTTATAAATTCGTTTGTATGGATAGCCGAATATTTCGACTGGACTAACACGAATATAATCGAAGTTAATTGCGAGTGTAACACCTTGCTTCCCATCAATGCATACCCCAAACTCAGCCTCACGGAAATAGGTGGGGAGTGGGGATCTATTCTTCATTTATTTTTCGAGATATAGATGCGAGTAGTCTTGAACCTAAATCCATTGTCCTTGTACCACTTCCGAGGCGGGTTCCGCTTGGGAACTCTGACCATGATCACGCCGTGGCCCTACTCTCCTTGCCGTATGATACCTCGGCAACCTCGCGTTGGCTGTCGGAGCATCCCTTTCGCCGATCGCTCGCAAGGCCCGTCACCACCTGATCTCCGCCCTCACCTCCTCCTTCACCCACAGCCTGTCCACCTTGTAAACTTAGTCCATCGCCGTCTCCTCCTTGGAGACTAGGCGGTATGGCATCGTCCCCAACTCGCTCCCAGATCAGGCATAGACAAGCGGGGAGAAGTATTTTAACGACGTCGGGACATGCGTAGGTGTAACGGGGTGAAGTGGCAAGGGGGAGCTCTTTTCTTTTGCCCTCTCAAGACGGCTGATGAGCTGCTTGATAGCCTTCTGGAATTTGATTCTCCGACGAAATGCCCTTCCCTCTTCTAAGATGAACGGGGACGTAGACGGGTGGTTGTTTCCCTTCTCAAAACGCAGCCGAACGTGAGCGACCTCATCGACTCCGAGGCACGGATATATGGCGGAAACTACATGGGCACGGATATATAGAAGAGAAGATGAAGAAAGATGACGAGCCAAGACTTGTTCTTCGTGTAAACGGAGGAGGAACTACACCGGTCGGCGTCCATAGAAATGGTCGGCGGCGCGAAGTGGGTGGAGATTTCTCTGCTTCTCTGATGCACTGCGGAGTCATTGCTTACAGTTTGGGTCGTCGTGGACGGAATTTCCATGAACTTGCATGGTTTTCTTGACGTGGTGGGTTTGCCTTGACAGAAAGGTTAACCGATTCGTTTGTGTATCGAATTAGACATGGGTTAAATCATTAGAAGTTCTTAGCTATGCTCATCTTGCTCCACCAAATCAAATACACCTTGTACGAATAATTTCTACTTCTAGGTTGATTTTGTTCCCCCTTGTATTGTACGAGTAATTTCTACTCAAACTCCGACTGTTGTTTGACTAGAGATAGTTAAACCCTTTCAAAAATACTAAATTATTTTATGGCAGAATAATACTCAAGAGGTACATAAAAGGTTTCCAAGTATAGCAAATCCTAAAATACTATAGAACAAAGCAAAAGCCAGGAAGTAAATAACAAGGCATAGTTTGCAGCTAGAAGCACAATCTAGTCCCTCCAGAACAAATTTGCCACCATAAACGATCAGCGGCTAATCACTACATTCAGTGATGAGCACATGCCGAGATTTCCCACTCCATTTACAATGGCTTGTGATGCGCGTTTAGGTTCAACGTCATCGTTATCTCTCCGTGCATAGACACCAATATCCAAATGTTGAATGAACACAGATCAAATAGTTGTAAGGTGAGCCCAAAATCTAGATCTAGTTTGAGAAAGTAAAACCCCCAAAACTTGTCTTAAATCTAAATCGGAAGAGGAGAGCAGCTTAAATTCGGGGAGGTTGTGGAGCCACGTTACGAACATCCTCCTCGGTGATTGTCGACCTGACGAATGGTCGAACTGATCTCCATGTTAATCCAAGATCAGCTGTAGAAATTTATTCACACACAAAAATTCCCAGAACAGATTGGGAAAGAAAAAGAAGATAGAGAGCTTCAAAAGATGGAAGAGGGAGACAAAGAGGGAGAGGGGGGAGGGAGGGAAAGAGGGGACGGCATTGTAGAAAGGCGGCGTCTTCAAGGCAAAGGAGAGGAAACCCTAATCTAAGGATAAGAAAGGAGAGTGTCCGATTTGGCTTTTTTGAAACTTAAATATACTTTTTATTTTCAAATTTAGAAATCTATAGATGAAACTAAAAAAGTAGGAGAAAAATGCTAGCGAAAAGGAGGTCGTGCCAATTACCAAGTGGTGATTTTTCTACGGCATCGTTTTATAATGATCGGGGAAAACTGATTTTGTTGGAATGAATTTAACCATAAATTGGAACGTGGACCGTCTTGAACCTAATAAGTCCCAAGTCCTTGTACTTGTACTTGTACCACTGCTGAGGCCGGTCCCGCTTGGGAACCACGACGGTGAGCACCCCGTCGCCGCTCATGGAGGCCGTCGCGGCGCTCACCTTCACCTTGTCGCTCCTCGGCAACTTCACCTTAACCGCCTCGTCCCCCTGGCCGAGCACCCACAGGACCCAGCCCCACCGGATCTCCACCGCCACCTCCTCTCGGGTCAGCCACGGCTTGTCCATCTTGTACACGTAGACCGACTCCGTCTCCTCCTCGGTGACCTGGTCGTACGTGGTCATCCCCAACACGCGCCGGGCCCCCTCGAATCCGAAAGGGCTGACGATGGCGAAGGCGTCTTGATAGACTTTCTTCTTCTTGTTAACTTTCCTAAGAACCTCGGACATTGTCTCGGTGCGTGCGTCGGAAATTATTATGCTGTTTAATCTGTGCAAGGATTCGAAATTGCATGCTGGTTTTTATAGCGATGAAGATGCCGGTATTGCTTGTCGCGACAAAATTTTACTTGGATGAGTTTGGCTGGGCTCTGATCATTCGTCGGTCTATTTTCCTTTCTGAAACGGTTGAAATGCCGGAACTGCCGGTCGGCATTCCCTTTGGGCGGAGCAAACAATGCCGACATATGCGACGATGGGAACCGGATCATTCATTTTGGATCTTCCTGTTGTCGTCAACAAGCCCAAAATTTGGACTCAAATCAGGCAATGCCAATGCACATAACTCAAGGCGCAATGGAAAAGTTGCCCGACTAGCTCATCGACCATGGATGTCATGATAATATGATTGATCGACAAGACCCATCAATGGAATGTTTGATAAGTTCATCGATCCTGAGTTTTCAATTGGCAAAGTTAAGTGAACACGTGGCGACGATCGATTGACTTAAAGCATGCGCGCAAGTGAAGATAGGTGGAGATTCTGGCAGAGGTAGACCAAAACGCATAATGCAATGGCCCATTTTAGAAAGAGCGAAAAAAAAAAAAGAACAATCACAAGCAATGAAAAAAGAAGAGAATAATCACAGGACATGAAGACATTACAAAAATAAAATCGGATTGTGATTCAGAAGTTATAAGGATTGAAAGATCATTCGTAAGTAGATTGATTAGGATTAGATTTTGCCTAAGATTTAAATTTCAATTTGAATTAGATTTGGTTTCCTGAGTCTAATACTCATGTTTGTCTATAAAAGCATTCCAGTCGTATTTTGTAAGTTCTTTACTTTCTCTACGCATTTCTCTCATCTCCATTACTAGTTCATGTTCAAATTCGATCATTGATCAAGCATAGCCTCCAAGAATGGAAACCATATGTTTTAAATTAATAAAGGCCGTCTTGATAAACTTCCTTATCCTACTAAACTTCCTCATCGTCAAATTGCTTGGAATGCCTGGCAATCTCATCAAACATGAAGTTCATGATAGTGTAGTTGACCCACAAGACCCATCAATGAAATGCATGATAAGTTCATCCATCATGAATTTCCGATGGCCAAAATTAAGTGATGTATATGACATGTGGTGACAATGGATTAATTCGAAGTATGCACAGAAGTTAGAGATAGAGTCAAGATGGATCCATTGATCGAGAGTAGAAGAATGCGTTACGGAATGGCCCATTTCAGGAAGAGTTAAAAAAAAAAAGAACAATCATAGGCAATAAAGAAGACATCATTTTCACCGAAAGAAAAAAGAAAGGCATAACAAAAGTTACAACAACACATCGAATTTTGATTATGAAGATGGGAAAATCATTGGTAAGAGATCGATTGAAATAAATTATCTAGTTAGATTAGGTTTCTTGAATATTCATTTTTGTTTATAAAAGCATTCCACTCGTATTCAGTAAGTTTCATATAATTTCCTTATGGTTTTCAATATGTTGTTTGCGCATTGTTTAGTAATTCGATTTGAAAAATCCAAGGCATTTCAGGCCATATTAGAATTCACCCACTTTATATTCGAACTCGTATTTACTAATTTAATTGGTTATCCATCATTCTCGATTGGATTTTAATCACTAATTGAAACCGTTGAGTTCCTGACAACCAGCGTCGCCTTGCAAATATCCGCGTAACCCATCTTTTGACGACCGTAGTTGGAGAATAGAATGCCTTGCCAAATTGCCAGGATATAGACGAACGATTTGAGGGCTTGAATGCTAGTTTCAGCACTAAAAGTCACTACAAAAAAACACGAAATTTGCGACGAAAATTTGCGACGAACGTTTTTCCGTCGCAAATTTGCGACGGATTATATTTTCCGTCGCAAATTTGCGACGGTTTATTTCCGTCGCAAATTTGAGATGGATTTTGCGACGGTATTATTTTCCGTCGCAAATTTGCGACGGAAAATACAATCCGTCGCAAATTCCGTCGCAAATTTGCGACGGAAAATACAATCCGTCGCAAAATCCGTCGCAAATTTGCGACGGAAAAATGTTCGTCGCAAATTTGCGACGGAAAATAAAACCGTCGCAAATTTGCGACGGCATTGTAAGTCCGTCGCAAATTCGTAGTTTATCAGCCCGTGATATTCCAACCCTATCTCTCACTCTCGCTCTCTCTCGCTCTCTCTCGTTTTTCTCCCTCTTTCGTTTGTCTGAAATAAGCAAAATAAGTGTACATGCACATATTAATCTCGGTGAAGCTTTTGTACCGGTAAGTGTCGTAGCTAGCTTCGTGACTATTCGTCGTTGCATTGTAATTTCCGTTTTTTTAATATATGTTTATGTTTGTTATTTTTTTGTATCTGCATCACCGGTTTAACGACCGGCGACACCTCGCCGGCCTTTGGATGAGGCCAAACGGCCATGCCGTTTTGCGACGGAAATAGTTTCCGACGCAAATTTGCGACGAATAAATGAAAATTCCGTCGCAAATTTGCGACGGATACCTGATTCCGTCGCAAATTTGCGACGAATGAATGAAAATTCCGTCGCAAAATTTGCAACGGATTTGAGTATCCGTCGCAAATTTGCGACGGAAGACTATTTCCGTCGCAAATTTGCGACGAAACGTAGTATTCGTCACAAATTTGCGACGGATAAAGAAAATTCCGTCGCAAAATTTGCGACGGATTTGAGTATCCGTCGCAAATTTGCTACGGAAGACTATTTCCGTCGCAAATTTGCGACGAAAATAGTCTTCCGTCGCAAATTTGCGACGAATAAATGAAAATTCCGTCGCAAATTGCGACGGAGTTGAGTATCCGTCGGAAATTTGCGACGCAAAACTAATTCCGTCGCAAATTTGCGACGGATACATTCCGTTTCCATCGTACATTAAAAATTATTAAAAAATGATTCTTAAGTGATTATTCTTTTTTGGGTATGTGCCTAATTGAAGGTCTCGCAATCCAAGTGGACGTTGCAATTCTCATCAAATTGATCACTTTCTCCTACAAATATTTCAGTCAAATATTTGGGTAAGTCTTCTTTACATTGTAGTTTTTTCTATTTTTGCAATTTGATATTAATTGTTGCGTGAATAACATAAATTATAATTTCCAAAATTTTATGGTTTTAATTAACAACAATAGATATGATATTTTAAATATTTTACCAGAATTTTTTATTTTAATACAGACACAATGCAAAGAGAAAGGGCTTGGATGTATAATAAGAACTTACCTGGACGTCAAGGATTGACAGATGAGTTTCGTACTGGATTGGAACTATTTTTAGACTTTGCTAGTAGTAAATATGAGTTTATGGATGAAAATAAGTTAAGGTGTCCGTGTAAAAAGTGCGGTAATGGTAAATTTCTTGTGTGTGATCAAGTTAGAGAACACCTTATTAGATTTGGGTTTACTCCGAACTATTATAATTGGACTTCCCATGATGAACCATTTATATCTGATGAAGGATATGGAAGAAGTGACCAATTTTCAGTTAGGGAAGAATGTGGCTATTATGAGCAATTGAACCCATACGAGAGGATGGTGATTGATGCAGCTAGTTATAATTTTGTCACAGAAGCAAATCATGCAAGTACTAGTTATACTCCTACACGTGAACAAGTGGTTACTCGTCATGCTTCACAATTGGAAGATATAGGAGTAACGGGTTTTGAGGAGAATGTGTATAATAAAACTTTTCAATCTAATCAGTTCTGGGATGTCTTGAAAGCAGCAGATGAACCTCTATGGACAAGTTGTGAGGACCACACTAAGTTATCGGTGACAGCCCGACTATTAAATATCAAGGCAGAGCATAATGTGTCATGGATTGCTTCAACTCTTTTGTTGAAGTAATGCGGGAATCATTGCCTCGTGATAACAACATGCCAAGTGATTTTTATGATATGAAAAAGCTAGTGGATAACTTAGGTCTTCCGGTTGTAAGGATTGATGTATGTAGTAGGGGTTGTATGATATATTGGAGAGATGATGAAAATGCAGAATCTTGCAAATTCGTAGCCAACCTAGGTACAAGATTAACGGAGGCCGGGTCGTAATCGAAGCGTAAACCATGCAAGCAAATGTTTTATCTGCCCTTAATCCCGATTGCAAAGGCTTTATGCGTCTAAAGCCATCTTGAACACATGACTTGGCATGCAAATCATGAAACGAAGAGGGTCTAATGTGTCATCCTTCGATGCGAGAGGCATGGCAACATTTTGATAGAACATACCCTGAGTTTGCAATGGAGCCTCGGAACATCAGGCTAGGTCTCTGTGCCGATGGATTTGCTCCATTTGGAAGAACAAGAAAAAGTTATTCATGCTGGCCAGTTATCTTAACGCCGTACAATCTTCCACCTGGTATGTGCATGAAGACACCTTATATGTTTTTGACATTGATCGTGACAGGGCCGCAAAATCCGAAAAAGTTGATAGATGTTTATATGCAACCATTGATTGAGGAGTTACAACGGCTATGGGTTGAAGGTGTCCCTACGTATGACGTTTCTACCGATCAAACATTTGTTATGAAGGCTGCCCTTCTTTGGACGATAAATGACTTTCCAGCTTACGGAATGTTATCTGGATGGAGTACAGCTGGGATCTTAGGATGTCCGATATGTTTGGAGAGGACAAAGTCATTTAGATTAAAACATGGAAAGAAGCCTAGCTATTTTGACTGTCACAGACAATTTTTACCGCCAAGTCATCCTTTCGAAGGAATAAGAAAGAGTTCAAGCAAGAATAGGATCTGAAAGAACGCGTCCACCATTGAGGTTGACCGGGCAATCAAATTTGGGAGCGTGTGCAGGACTTTCCAACTGTTGTTGAAAACCCGCACGGCACGACTTTTGAGTACGGAAGTACACATAAGTGGACAAAACGCAGTATATTTTGGGATCTACCATATTGGAAGGCCCATCTTATTCATCATAATCTTGACGTCATGCACATAGAAAAGAATGTTTTCGACAATGTCATAAA